AGCTAATTTTCTGCATCTACGGGTGATTGTGAATTGTTTATGAACTTTGTTAGTGGCTAAATGGAGGGCAAAATAGCCTAATATCCTCTTGGACAAAAATTCATCATCATTCATATGGATATATACTAAGGATATTCCAGGTTAAAACTATAGTTTGTATTCAAAACACTGTGGCATGGACAACTCCTTGGTCATATCAATATCAAACGTGGGTGTACTTTGTACCTTTGGAAACACAACCTTGCCACTTCTTTTGCGGCTAGGCATGTACATTGATCATCTTTGCATCACATTCCATTTATATCATCAAATTATTTAGTTCTCGGAAACAAATCAATGGTAGGCAAATGCACCATTTGGAATGATCTCAAGACATAGCAGAGAGGGCCCTTACACAAATGGTATATACAAACATGATATCACTTCACATTACTTTCTTTTGGTTTATTGTTGGAACATAATCATTCTTCAAAGCCTTCCATGCTTTTGAGTTTTATTCTCTGTCTTGCATCCTTTCTCTTATTGATTTTGACGTTAAAATTTCACGTACATGTTTTCAATTTATTTGTTAATGCATGTAATTTTTTATTATTATGAAATTTGCTAATGTATGATGCATTAACAAATAAACTACAAACATGTACATGAATATATTGCATGTGGTCCAATTTTCTAGTAGATAGAGTATTAGGTTTTTACTCATGCGTCCAGGTTCAAAACTTCTCCTCCCTTAAATTGTTGTAGTAGTTTTGAACTTCCACCCTCCCCTTGATAATAATACCTTTTTTTGTCAAAAAAAAAAAATGTACATGAATATATTAATATCATTTCCATTTTTAGTTCTTTGAGATTTTTTTAATTATATATGTGAGTATATATTCACTTAGTATTAGTCTACTGGTTAGAGTTAGTATATTATAAATAGCATGCTTATTATTTAGTCGAGAACAAGTTAGTCACGATGTAATCTCTTGGAATTTTGTAGTTGTTTCAGCATTCTTGTTTGTTTAATAAAATTCTTATTATTTTGTAATCTTGTTCGTCGCGCACTCTGATATTCAACCTGGCATCATAGCAGGTTTAATCCTTGGTGGTTTAATCTGCTTCTGTTTTGTTTGTATCAGTTTGTCTATCTTCGTTGTTTGTTTTGTCCAATTTCGTTCCGTAAAACTTATTTCATTTTCTGGTTTGGGTTACCCTATGTTTGATGTTCATAAAAAATTTAAAAATAAATCTGCTAGTCTGAAGCCAGAGCCGTGCCCCGCCATTGGAGCCACTACACCACTGCTACACCTCTGTCTTACACCGCGCATCATGCTAGAGCCTTGATGTCGTCGTCCGCCTGATTTGGCCCCACTAGCCTGACCCGCAGCCTGAAGAACTCATATTTGACGAACACAAATTTCATTTGTTACCTGCTGCCTGATCGAACTCGCGTGACTCATCTACTTGAACCGTTATTGTCTTCAAGCTGGAGACTGCCACCCAGTGGTGCATGCCGTTGTATCTGATGAGAGAGTTGTGAATGATTTAAGTGAGGAAGTTCTGAAGTTGGTGATCTGCGATTAAAGAAGATTGGTACATTGAAAAGTGATGTGTTTTAAGCGTATTCAGAATGATGGGGTCATTTTTCCTTTTTTTTTTTTGACAAATGATAGATTTATTAGATTAGATATTAGATTAGGGAGTTAGTAGGGTTCGAATCTACACCGTGGTGCAAGAACAACACTCGTCTCCATCACTATGCTAAAAACCATTTACCTTGATGAGAATGTGTTTGAATTGTTGGGAAAAAAGGAGAAAATGAGTGGTGCTTTTTAGGCCTTTTGAGGCCCACACGGATAAGTTTTGTTGGAGTTTGCTTGCCAAGCATTCGACCACTTGAGTGATAGTTTTTGTTACTCTCATTTTCTTGCTGTAATTGGAATATGGAAATCTTGTTCGTTTAGTTACAAGGAACACTCGTATGTTTTCTCTCCATACTCTCAACGCCAGTATGAATTAATTTGCCAATCTAGTCAAGTCCAGTTCGCAGTTCACCTAACGGAGCCAATCAGCATCTGCTTGTTTGCAAACTCGTATCGTATACCGCCATGAGTTTGACAGGGAGTGTTGGGAAATATTAGTATTTAAGTTTACTTTAATGTTTAGTTTTCTAGGCTTAGCTCATTAGCATTAGGGTTTCGGTTTCTTACCTTTTAGGGTTAGGGTTATTTATTATAAATACCATACTTGTTATTCAGTTGAGAACAAGTTAGTCATGACGTAGCCTTTTGGAGTTTTGTAGCCATTTCAGCATTCTCGTTTGCTTAATAAAATTCTTATTATTTTGTAACCTTGTTCGTCGCACTCTAATATTCAACAATAAGTGAGAGATCTTAGGTTCAACGCATGTGGAAGACAAGTTTGATACCAATTTACTATAATTAGTTCATTGTGTAGCTTAGTCTTAATCATTCACCACTTAGTACAAATATGTCATTACATTAATATATATACATACATACATACGTACGTACGTACATACATACCTACATATATATACATACATACATACATACCCACGTCGAACTTCAACGATCCGAATCATCTATTTTTTAAGTTGCACCTCTTAAATCATCATTGCAAAATATTAGCCAAAATCGTAAATATTTAAGACATCTAATTGAGTTCAAAGAAATTGACGAATACTTTTGTTCTATAAGAAACAATGAAACTTCGTTGTGATAATTAAGTAGATAAATAGTTCGGATTAAATTGAATTTTGGATAATCCATGAATAAAGACTTATAAAATAGACAATTTGAATTGTTGAAGTTTGATTTAAAGTGGGTCCCACAACTGATCCTCTTTTTTTTGTCTTTTTTTTTTTTTTTTTAAATGAAGATTCCTTCTCTTAATGGGCTTGTATATGCGCACATGCACGCACATATGTTCACATCTTTTTTTCTTAAGAAGAAGATGATATATTTACAGTTTGATCAAACAAAATATACAGCTTCAATTCCCTTAATAAGCTAAAATGTTTTTTAAATAAAAAAAAGAAAGCAATTAATAAATAAAGAAAGTTGTTATTGACACTTAAGATATCATCATGCACTCTTCTATGTATAATTTTTCTCTTATGTTTTCTTAAAGCAAAAACTCATGCTTACATTTCAGAGTGCTAAGAAATCTTCCACCGGTTGGTGAACTACCAAGGCAAAAGGCCTACTCAAGCTCGAGCAGGTCAGGCAAGTTCAAAGAGCTGCCTGGAGGTATGTGACGCGAGGCTGGCATTATGCTACCATGACAGTTCTTGTATGGATAAAAAATTACCAGAACAATTACTACTCAACGTGAATGATTACTACCTTTGTCTTTTCTTGCCCCTTTGCCATCGCAAAACAGGGGTACCTGTACAAATAACAACTACCTTCGAGAAATAACAAACGACGATTTAAAGAAAACCAAATAAACCCACAAAAAGAACTGAATATTTAGCCTAAACATTTTAAACTAAATGATGTGGTTGTTGATAATTGAATTATTACTTAAGTATGCATTAACGTGCTTATTACCTATTGATGACATATTATTTAATTTGTAAATTTAATTTAAAATTTTAATTAGTCTCCCTAGCATTATTCTTTCACGTAACATGAGCCCAAATTTGCTGCTCAACTAAATCATTCCCGACGTTTACATCATAAGATTTTGGCACTTATGAGATCTCAGATTTTGTTACTAATGCAAAATCTTGAATTTGTTGCTTGTGTTTGACATTTGCTCTACAATCACTGAGAAAACGTGTAAAGTTTGATAATTACATAGATCCTATTTGTCAATACTTTTGAGGGTTTGTGTAGAGAAAGGTTTTCAGGTAGTGCGCAGCTGGAAACGGATTCAAAACACTTGGTGGATATGATAAATGGGATTATGCAAGCCAACGTTGTCATTGAAGGTAATCTCTTGGATATTTAATGTATAAAATAACAACCGTTGTTGGTGGAGTTCATTTTTGCTCTCCAGTAATAGGGCAGCACATCTAATGGTGTTTTTTGTTTCTCGAATGGGGGGGCCTTCATACCTGGGATAGCTTTGAACCAGAATGGTTGTTCAATACTCTTACTTTTGATGTAAATGTTTTTCTTCGAATTTAATAATATTTCACTTTCAATGACAAAAAATGTGAGTTAAAAGTGTTAATGTGTTTGAAACACAACAATGTTAGTGGGAAACAACCCAAAATCCAAATTGTGGCCAATGATTCGCGTTCAGAGAAAATTTATCTTATCACTGATTACACAGATCCATGCATCTATCTTCACTTTTGTTACTTTGCTTTAAACTTATAGTTACTATTTTTAACTTTCCTTTCCTTTGTATACAATCCACTGTGAGAGAAAGAAATCAAATTTAGAGCCTCTGCGCAAAGTTAAATGCTCCTTAACTAACTAAGCTGCAAGCCTTTTGCAGTAGTTAGACTTTCTTTTTTTGTTCATGAGTCATGCATGATTGAGACTTTTAACTGGGATTTACAAGCATAAATCTTGTCCAGCTCTTCTAAGAAAGACAACATCAAATAAAGCAAGAACAGAACCCAATCCCCAGTTGGGTTCTCTGCATTTTATCCCATATTCATAAAGAGCTGAGTCACAGATTTAAAGGTTCAGTTCTAACAGAGAGTCATGGACATGCCTGGGTCTCATATATTCTTCTGGTTTGAGGAATATGTGCTGGAATGTAATGTTTTCCCTAGACAAGATAGAATTTATGTAGATACTCTAAAGTGTTTTAGATTTGACACTAATTCTCGTTGCTTGTAAAAAAATGAGATCATCTGTATTTTGCACTAAAAGTCGGCAGTTTTATTTAATTAGAAACAAATATAAAGTGAAAAATAAAGATAATATTTATCACAGACCCATCGACCAACCTCATTTTATAATATTTTTCCTCCTTAAATGGAAGCTTCATGCCACAGATTTTTGAGTCCTCAAAATCTACCATTTGTTCAACTTTAATCCAATTTAAAATCCATGAAAGTTGTCTTCTTTCTTGTTTATTTAGAGTACTAATAGTTATAGCTTTCTTCAGTACGATACATTTTGTTCTAGCATTCATAGGCAGCTCTTTATTCTCTCTCTCTCTCTCTCTCTCTCTCGTTTTGCAATGGAGCCCTTCAGAACTTTTTATGGCATAGAAGGATGCAGCAGCAGTGAATCAGGGTGGACAACATACATTGGCTCTCCCATGCAAGAAGATGAGCCCGAATGCAGCAATATTGAAGACGTCGGTTACGAAAACCATCATCACATCGCATATCTCACCAGAAAAAAAGTTGGCAAAGATGACAACGAGAGTGATGATTCAATGGCTTCTGATGCTTCTTCTGGCCCAAGTCATCATCATGATCTCGTGCCTTCGCGCAGTAAAGACGGTAAAGGCACCGCTCGTTCCAAACGCGATAACAACAAGCAATCTAGGCACAAGAGCACAAGTAAACCAGAGAAGAAAACTGGTGAAAAGAGTACCAAAAGGAAGTGATGTGAAATCAGCGCTAATAAACTTTGATCGTGTCGTCGAGTCCTGGCTCAAAGGGTACTGCAGATTATAGTTGTTAATTAAAACTATAAGCTTGCAAATGAAGAAGAAGATGTATATTTGTTCTTACATGTAGAATACACAAATGGAAGGATATATATTTCTCTTTTCTTCCACGATAATTCTTGGTTCCACCGTTCTTATTTCGATTTTTAATTTGTATCTCATTAGACATTTTTTTTTCCTGCATTTCTTTTAGAACATTCATCAGCGCGGACAAACATCCGTTGAAATTGTAAAGGTTAAATTTTGTCACAGCATATTCTTTTAATCTCGGAATAATTAAGTTTCTGGCGGAAAAAAAGGCGGTATTTTGTGATGCAAGCATGAAATTATGGTGTGTTTGTCTCTCAAGTTTTCTCAACAATAATGCATTTTGTGTATGGAGTGTTAGTGCCGCTGTCTCATGTGGCTATGAAGCAAACAGTGTGAGCAATTTGCTGGAAAGAAGAAAGATCAGAAAGCATATATACATGTGGCCATCTGCAAAAAAATAAAATAAAAATAATGATGTACTGGTTTTAAAAGCTTAGAAATTATTATGCAGAATGTGTGTATGTTAACAAGTTGTGCTGGAAAGAAAAAGATCAACATAGAAAGACAAATGCCAACTATGAATGTTGAGGTTTTTTTGTTGTGACAGAAAAAGAATTGGTAGAGTTTTACAAAAAAAATTAAAAAACAAAAATTGGTAGAGTAGTTTCTGCAACAGGTGTGCAAATGCAACAGCAAAGCAAGTACCAAATATGGGCTGTACTTCCAACTCCAAAGAATATTCCACCACTTATAAAAACAAAATCTGTGATTTGTCATCAAATTTGCACGTTTTATCAATAATATACGCATTAATTCTTAAATATCGCGAGATATGAGTAACCGTTGACTGACTATATATTGTATAGATTGATCGGCTACTCACATTCTGCAACTATCCATCAAGATTTGTCCCGCATTGGAGAAATCTGCATGTTATCAGCAGTAGTTAGAACACATGCAAACATTTGTTTAGGGAAGTGAGGATTGAATTTAATAGAGAAACCATAGAACATGTCTTTTTGCCTTGCCTTTTGTCTTATTATTGATTAAGTCAACATGAAGATCAGATAAGAAAATCACCTTTCACCAAGAGATTCTTGTGTTACTTTAGTATTTGGGGAGTCCTATACAAACAATATAAAATATAAATGTCTTGTAAGTGGATTACCCAGTGGGTAAAATTTGTTTAAATTCCATTCAGTCGATCCTAAAGTTACAAAATGTTGATTATACATCGATTTTCCTTACTATTTTCAGTATTTGAATTCTTCAGCTCATTCAACTCACATTCAGTCGATCGTTAAATTATACAATATAAACTATACATTGATATACTTTAGAATTTTCAATATTGAAATTCTTCAACTCACATTCAGTCGGCTGTTAAGTTATACAATGTCATTCATACATCGTTGCACTTTAAAATTTTTGGTACTTAAGAATATGGTTTGGTACAACTGAAGTGAATATGAATACAAGTTTTGATAGGTGGAATACAATTTTTTTAGCTGAGAGTCAACAGAGGTAGAGCACGGGTACAACCAATTTAGGCTTTTCTGGACCCAATTTTCACAGCTGTGATGCCTCACCAGATTTGGTTCATTTAAAGTGAATTTAGCACATGGAAAGCACATTATTCAGATTTATGGGACACATTTGACACCCCAAAAGCAAAGTAAATATTTGAGGAATATTTGGCACATGCAAAGACAAAAAAGTCAATAATTGCAAGAAAAATGCACAAAAATATATAATTAGAGCTGCAGAAGTTGAGAAAAATATAAAAATTTTGAGTTCCCCTGAATTGAATAGAATTACATCTTTCAAAGCCAAAAGCACAAGCATAACAAAGCACACTTCAGAGTCTTGAAAAATAAACTGATAAAACTTATTTGGGATAAATATTTTCACTGAAAAAGAGTTGGCAGAAGCTCCGCCCAGCGTAAAATCGTCAGCAGAAATTATTCAGATGGAGTGTTCTCTGCTTGAGTTGAATGTGTCACAGAACTTGGACTTAAATCTTTGACAGTTTGGCGATCTTGAACCATTCAGTATGGAAAACACCTTCCATGTCAGTTCTTTCGTATGTGTGAGCACCGAAGTAGTCACGTTGAGCTTGGACCAAGTTAGCGGGCAGGCTTTCCCTTCTGTAGGAGTCAAAATAAGCAAGACTAGCTGACATACCAGGGGTGCTGATGCCTGAGTTGATCGCAAGACATACCACCCTTCTCCAGGCAGACTGCCTCTCAACGATCTCTTTCGAGAACTCTGGGTCCACTAGAAGGTTTGCAAGATCAGCATTCCTGTCATATGCCTTCTTAATTCTGTCTAGGAACACTGCACGAATGATGCAACCACCCTTCCAGATCCTGGCCAATTCGCCCAACTTCAAGTCCCATCCCTTCTCAATACTCTTTGCACGGATCAAATTCATCCCTTGTGCATAACTGCATATCTTTGATGCATAAAGTGCTTGCCTCACATCATCGATCAACTTTGCCTTATCCACCTCTGGGGTGTTCAAGCTATCCTCAAAGCCAGCTGATTTGAACACTTTAGCTGCTTTAACCCTCTCGTCCTTTAACCCACTGAGGAACCTTGCATCCAAAGAAGATTCAATTGTTGGAGCTGCAACTGATAGTTCAGCAGCTTGCTGTACGGTCCATTTACCAGTACCCTTCATGCCAGTCTTGTCCAAAACTTTGTCGACCAAATATCCATCTCCCTTGTCATCCTTGATTCCAAATATATCAGCAGTGATTTCAATCAGGAAACTGAGAAGTTCACCCTTGTTCCACTCTGAGAAAACTTTTTGGAGTTCCTCATTTGACAACTTTCCAACTGATTTCAGTACATCATAAGCCTCCGCTATCAGCTGCATATCGCCATATTCAATCCCATTATGAATCATCTTGACAAAGTTACCAGACCCACCTTTGCCAATGTAAGTCACACAAGGACCACTGTCCGGAACTTGAGCTGACACCTTAAGAAGAATGTCTTCAATGTACTTATAGGCCTCAAAGGAACCTCCAGGCATCATAGAAGGCCCGTATCGAGCACCCTCCTCACCACCTGAAACTCCCATTCCAAGGTAAAGAAGACCTAATTCAGCCATGGCTTTCTCCCTCCTCTCAGTGTTCTCATACCACTCATTACCACCATCAATGATGCAGTCACCTTTCTCCAGGTAGACGGAGAGGGTCTTTATGGTCTGGTCAACAGGCGCCCCAGCCTTGACAAGCATAATCACGACACGGGGTTTCTGGATTGACTTAACAAAAGATTCGGGATCATGGAATCCATAAAGGGGAAGGTTTCCTTCCTTTTTAGCTCGCTCAACGGTCTCATCAACTTTGGAGGTAGTTCTATTGTATACCGAAATGGGGAAGCCTTTCTCTGCAATGTTGAGAGCCAAATTTTGGCCCATGACAGCTAAACCAGCAAGGCCTATTCTTGTAGGTTTTGGTGTTGCAGCCATCTTTTTGCCTGTTTGACATTTGGATTTGTTAGTGAGAGCGTCAATTTTATATCCATGTAATGACAAAATACGAAGTACAGATCTGAGGGACCTTAGTCCCCAAAAACAAAATGTCAGGATGCTTTGATGAAATCCAACAAACTTCAATTGCTCAAATTACAAAACAATAGATCATAAATTAATTTCACAGGTAATCACATATTCCAATGCCTACACACTAATCGCAGCATTGTATATCATTGATGAGATTGAAAATTATGTATATGACTCTCAAATGTATTAAACAAAATTAACAAATGTAATGAACAATGATACTCCCATAACAACTTACTAAGCCGGTAAGCCCTGCATACTAATTTCGTATTGTAGAACATAGACGAGATTAAACATTAAGTATCTGATCCTCAGATGAATAACACTAAACTAACAATCTAACGAACAAAGGTATTACCCCAGTTTGAATCACTAAGCCCTCACTTTTACAGTCCAATTGTTCCGATCGACTCAGTGGACAAACAAAAAAAAAAACTAAACTTTCATTGCCTCACTAAGCCCTCACTTTTACAGTCCAATTGTTCTCTGAAGCTAACCAAATTAAACCAGACCCACTTTACTCTTTTACTTATCTAAAACAAAATTCAATCATATTAATATAAAAATCATAAATTCCACATCCCATCAACCAAATGACTGGATGAACTAAAAAGCATGATCTAATCAATCTGAAAATTTCCAAGAATCCACAAATCAGTGCAAAACGAAATTCATCGTCAAGATTATGAGCAACCGAATAACACTAACAAAGGAAACACAGATCAACAATCCCAAATCATGGCAACCAATCAAGTTTCAGAAAAAGCTATGATTTTTAACCGCAGTCAGTCAAATAATTTAATGGCTGTAATTGCATTCAGTAAAGTAGAGCAGTGAAAGGGAACGTTTTGATCAAAACCCAGAAAGCAAAAGGATCCGAACCTGAAAGTGTTCTTCTGTAAGGAGAGAAGGGGGATTGAAAATCTGAGGAAATCGAGCGAACCCAAGAAATCAAAGATCTGGGGTAGGCGGAAAGTGATGAGCTTTTATATTAAGAAAAGATTTTCAATGGCATTTAGGGAATACTGTAGCGGGTCAAGATTGGCCACTGGCTCGGTTGGTGAGGTGGACACCCCGTCGTTGAAGGTCGGTTAGGCGTGGAGATATGGCAAGTCCATCCAACGTAACACCATTTGACTGGCGCCAATTCAATTTACTCTTACCTGCATTATCATAACTTCGTTCACCATTTGTCACCTATACCATACATCATATTCAACTATTGTTAAGCGGTACACGAGATACGAGAGTCGAACTTAAAATTTCGAATGCATGGTCAAATAACGTTAACTCATTTAGTTACAAGCTTTTATAAAAGTTTTCATTGGTTTAAAAGAATTTTTTGTGGTTTGTGTTCTTTTTTCTTAAAAAAAGACGAACAATGCATCTCATTCTCTTAATGAGAAGTTGTAACAAGATTTTTGTATGTGAACTCCTACCTTGATGCTCCTCATGCTCTTGTCTCGAGAGGCGAGCATTGCATGCATATTCTTGAAAAAATGATAATCATACAATATTTTTTTTACATTTACACTATTTTGTTTAATCTTGTATTTTATTTTTATTTAATTTATATAATTCGACGACAAAAATAACAGAAAATTTGTATGAGAAGAAAAATGATGCGCGTATATCATTTTATTTTTGCTATTCCAATGGCAAGGTGAGCAAACATGTGTTCTCATTAGGCCAGAGAAAGGAAAGGCAACTCCATTTTTAACTAATTAACTTTTTAATTTTTAAATATGATAAGAATCTGAAACGGATCTAGGAAAGCATATGCATCTGACCTGGACATGGTTTGGGTGGGCACTTTTGCTAATTAAATTACTAACCCAATTGCAAATATATGCATTCTTCATACGCATTACCCATCTCAACATGATGTGACCAATTGCAAAGCACCCACATCACCACAAGTACCCGTTTTGCATAACCCACCAGTTGTATTTACTTAAGTAACCGGATCTCCTCCGGATCCTAATAAACTGAGCTCATTAATAAAAAAAATTCAGATCGTTGAAATTTGATACAGCGATTATAAATAGAGAATCTCTCTAAAAATTATAATAATTGTAGTCGTTAAATTAAATTTTAACAGTTCAGATTCATTAATTAGTGAGCTCAATTTCCTTAAATCCGGATGCGATCCGGTTCCTTTACTTAGTACGTTCACCATGTAAGGAGATTGCGTACACGTTTGCATCACTACAATGTCAATTCTTATCCGTCAATTACAATCACAAGAATTCTACATTCACCATTTAACATTTGGACATGCAACCAAAGAAAAAAAGTCATACTGGACGCTTTTTAGTCAAAATTATCTTTTAATTTTAGTCTCTCAAATTTAAAATTAATTGAAGTAGTCCCTGAAATTATCCCTGTCAATAATTTTGTCCCTTCTGTGAAAAATTTATGTCAAATTGAAGAAACCACATGTTCAGGGGGAATGTTGATTTGACAAAATTAACCTTGATTTAACAGAGATTTTTCACGAAATGACTAAAACGATTGACAGTGAACAATCTCAAGGACTACTTATATCAATTTTAAATTTCAAGAACCAAAATGAGAAGTTATGGCTATCTCATAAACCATTTTAGATAAACAGTCGACTTTTTAAATGGTGAATGTATATGAATCGTAGCTATGTCCTACAAATAAGACCTTCCAACCAAATTTGATAAATGAATAATGATTATGTAATAACATTAGCAGGAATACTAAGAACATTCATAAACAACAAACGGCATAGATTATGTACCTTCACTTGATGAATGCTTAAGGTTTTAAGTAGTCTGAATCGATGAATTACATATTATGCAAAGTGCATAAGAATTGCTACGTATACATTCTCAATCTGGCTGTTTACGACCCATGCTTCACATGAATAACAGATACAACATTAAGGCAAGCATAACAGACAGCTTTTCCCAGAAACAAAAAAGACCAAGACATAATTTCTCACCGAGCTTTGCTCTGAGGTTGTAGTGACAGACGATAGCGGTGACTCGCTGATGAACTTGGAGTGGAGCTGCGAAGATGGTTTTTCTTATCTATAAGCCAAAATTGCACATCTGAACAAATTCCATATCATTGTCCAAATAATAAGTCCAGAGTTTCTTGTATTGGTTCATAGCAACGTCCAACCAAGGTTTCATGTTTCCGTTGTAATGAATGACCGCAGCTTTTCTAATCTCGTCCATGCTAATACTGGGATTGTACCCCAGCCCAAGCACATGCCACGATTTGTCCAACGACTTTGTTGTCGAGTAGAAGGTAATCAGCCCCGGAGGAAGAGTCCCCAATTTCCAGAGAGTCCGGTCCTCATTCTGCAAAATTCATGGACAAGAATTATTCACAATTGTATGATTGTATTCAACACTCAACTGGTAACAACACAATTGTGCTTCAATTTTATATGGCGCCATTTGGGTAGTAATTTCCAAGTGAATTACAAATTGTGTTGTGCAAATAAAAGTTACAGTACTTCAAAAATGCTAACCCAAATGGCACTTAATCTTCCCCTACGCAAGGAATTTAAGCATAAGAAAACACTTACCAAGTTCTGCCAGTAATGGTACTGCTCGGTGCTTTTCTCCTGCCTCCAAGCATCAAGATCAAATATATTCATCCCGTAGGCCCAAGCACATGCCCTCGGATTGAACCTTTCCCTGATCAGAGGGTGTGAAAAATTCACATACTGTGCGTACCGATGGAAGGACCCAAAGCAGGTCTCAACGGCTCCATTCACCTTCCCGTCCAAATCGATCTTCCATAATCCTGTCAAGTCCTTTTGAACCACAACATCATCATCCAAAAAGAGAATTTTGTGCAGTTTGGGATACATCTCCGGCAAATAAAACCGAAGGTGATTCAACATTGACAAGTACTTGGGGTTTCTATATTTCATGTTTTGTGTATCCTTGGTAGCATTCTCTGCCCGATTCTCAAAGTAGAACTTCTGCAACTTTGCTGACTCAAGTTGCCTCAAGACTGGCACATATGAAGAGTTCAAGAAAGTAAAATCTTCTACTGCCTTCACCTCAACATATGCACCCCGTTCCACAGGCCTCATCTTAAACCATACCTTCATCGGTGCAAGATTCATCCTATCTGTAACAACATGGAAGACATGTTTCCACGGTTCATTGGAATTATTCACCACAGATCGTACCACAACTGAGACAGCGATGACATTATCTGAAAAAATTGCATAATGGTACAAACTTGGGTCCTCAAATTCGGGGCTTGGTTCCTCTTCCTTGTACTTCTCCGGATGTGAAATTCTTTCCTCAACAAGCCTCATGGCCAAACAATGTAAACTTTTTGGTATCGATTTTGCAGCAATCGAGCTTGCAAATGCCCCATTCTTCTTTGCCTTTATAAGCAACTCATTAACAGCAAAAATGGTGTCCTTCAACTTCTGAATCTTGAGCTGATTATCATAATTCTCCTTTGACTCCCCAATCATTAACCGAGCAATTTTGACCTTATCCTTCACCTCCTTCTCGAAATGCCTCAAAACATCCTCATCCAAAGGACCGTCTGATTCAAACAAAGCGGTCCTGTAACCCGGCTTCATTTGAACATCAGAGAAATTCGACGCCAAATCATCAAACATTCTCATTTGCCTAGATATCTCAAGCTTAAGCTTCCTGGCGTAAGCCGCGTAAGCATTCACCAGAGTAACATGATCATTGGCTTGCTTATATATCAAATCTAATCTTGTTTTCAATGGATCAGAATTTAAAGCTAAAAACGTCCTACGCATGTACGCGTTTCCAGTTGTTGGAAGTGCCTGCAGTCAATCAAACATCAAGATTAAATCTTCAATCCTATCCGATTGAAAAAAAATTAACATCTGGGTTTTGCTTTAGTCAAAGATTTTTACATGGGTTTTTCACTTTTTACTTAATTTGGGTTTTTTTTTTTCCAATCTGGGATTTGTTCAAATATGAAAATTAGAAATTAGAATGTGGGGTCTAATTAATCAGTGAAATTGACATCTGGGTTTTGCTAAAGCATCGAAATTTCAATCTAAGTCACAATTAATTACAAAATTAAACGATGGAAAACGGATTGAGGACGAGAGGGTAATACATACAGAGTCGTGGTGTGGAGTCGAAGGATTTGTGGTGAGGATAACAGAGAGCGTGGCAATGAAGAGCAGAGAGAACATAGCCGAGACAAAGATCCGATACGAGAAGAAGCTCCGGACGCTGAACCCGCCAAAACCCGACCCGCCACCGCCACGGCTGCCTCGCACGGCCACCGCCATTGCAGCAACCAAGCTCCGATCAGAGCGCCCTCGACCTCAAAACGGAGAATGATCGAATGGTGTTTTGACTCTAGCAGCAGCAAAAGAATTTGAGTTCTGTCTCTCAGCTGATTGGAAAGTGGAATGAGGAGAGAGAGGGAGAGAGAGAGAGAGAGAGAGAGAAGGTGATTGGAAGTGTGTGAGTGTGTGAGATCTCAGCTGGGTGTGAAGAAGAAGACCATGTGTGAGAGCGTGGTAGAGATCAAACTTCCGAGTGAGGAGAGATCTAATTTTCGTGTCGGTGTTTTCATTTTTATTTAATAAAAAATATTAATATAATAATAGGTGTTGGATGCGGGGTGCGCCATAGACCATGTAATAAGAGAGTTTATATTGGAAGGGGATCTTCCACTAAATCCACCACGATTACAAATTTGAGCCCTTTAAAATTTGATCCGACGATGATAAATAGAAATCTTTAGCCGTTGAATCAAATTTCAAAAGTTCAGATTTATGATCTTGGTGAATTTGGTGAAAAGGATAATTACTTGTTTATAAGGAGTACAAGATGAGGACAGTAAATGTTTGACTTTTTGTCAAGCCACGAAAGTCTAATACTTTAGCAAATTTGCACTAAGTTAAAAAGATTTAAGGGATTAGCCTAACCCAACAATTTAAATCTCAATTGAGGTTTAGAAAAGATCTCATGGTTGACTATAGTTCACATATTTTATACCAAAAAAATTAGACTCAATTTTGAAATCTAGATAGAGAAAATTGGGGTAGGTAGAAATCAACTTCTAATTCGTTTGAGCTATAACCCTGTTCAAGATAAAGCCCAATATTGCTTTGTGTTTATGTTGTCCAGGCCCAACCCAAACAAATGGATTATTTTTCATCAACCTCCCACTAAACCTCGCAGTGAATAACTGAAATTTGAAATGGAATTCAGACTTAGCCGTTAGAGATAATATGCCGGGCCTCAGCCTCTCTCTTCCCGCTCCCGCCAAACTCCCTCCACCTCCTCCTCTCGGTCCGAAAGCCACCAACTTTGAGCTTCTCAACAACCGTCTGATCAACCAAATTAATGTCGGCCATCTCCGCAAAGCAATCACCACCCTTGATCTCCTGGCGCAGCGCGGGATCCACCCCGACCTCCCCACCTACTCACTCCTCATCAAGTCCTGCATCCGGTCCCGGAACTTCGACCTGGGCAAGCTCGTCCACGACCGGTTAGCTCACTCCCAGCTCGAACCCGACCCGGTACTTCTGAACTCCTTGATTAGCTTGTATTCGAAATCTGGGGACTGGAAGAAGGCAAATTCGATCTTCGAAAACATGGGCAGTGAGAGAAATTTGGTTTCTTGGAGCGCCATGGTGTCTTGTTTTGCGAACAATGATATGGGATTCGAAGCGATCACGACGTTTCTTGATATGCTCGAACATGGGTTTTACCCGAATGAGTATTGCTTTGCATCTGTGATTCGGGCGTGTTCGAATGCCCGGAATATTGGGATTGGGAAGATAATTTTTGGGTCGGTGATCAAAGGTGGGTATCTTGGGTCTGATGTGTGTGTTGGGTGTTCATTGATCGATATGTTTGCGAAGGGTGGTGGAGATTTGGGTGAAGCGTATAAGGTGTTTGAGGAAATGCCAGAGACGGATGCGGTGACGTGGACTTTGATGATTACTAGGTTTGCACAGATGGGTTTCCCCAGAGAGGCTATTGGTTTGTATGTGGATATGTTGTTGAGTGGGTTCATGCCTGACCAGTTTGCACTAAGTGGCGTTATATCGGCGTGTACAAAGTTGGAATCACTTTCACTGGGGCAGCAATTGCATTCGTGGGTTATACGGTCTGGATTGGCTTTAGGTCATTGTGTCGGGTGTTGTTTGGTGGACATGTATGCCAAGTGTGCAGCTGATGGATCGATGAATGATGCGAGGAAGGTATTTGATCGGATGCCAAACCATAATGTTATGTCATGGACTGCAATTATCAATGGATATGTGCAGAGCGGAAAGGGTGATGAGGAAGCCATCAAACTTTTTGTTGAAATGATGTCGGGTCATGTTCCACCAAATCATTTCACATTTTCTAGCATTCTGAAGGCTTGTGCAAATCTTTCGGATCTGCGTAAGGGTGAACAAATTCACTCCCTGGCAGTGAAATCAGGTCTTGCTTCCGTTAACTGTGTGGGAAATTCGCTGATCACCATGTACTCAAAGTCTGGCCAGGTGGAAGATGCCCGCAAATCTTTTGATGTTCTGTATGAGAAAAATTTGATATCTTATAACACAATCGTTGATGCGTATGCCAAGCATTTAGATGCAGAAGAAGCCTTTGGACTTTTTCATGAAATTCAGGATACAGGATATGGGGCCAGTGCTTTCACATTTTCTAGTCTCTTGAGTGGAGCTGCAAGCATTTGTGCAGCTGGTAAGGGCGAACAAATCCATGCCCGGATAATAAAGTCAGGACTTGAGTCAAACCAAATCATTTGTAACGCTTTGGTTTCCATGTATTCTAGGTGTGGAAACATAGATGCTGCTTTTCTAGTTTTCAATGAGATGGAAGATTGGAATGTTATATCATGGACTTCAATAATCACGGGTTTTGCAAAACATGGATATGCAGCTGCAGCGGTGGACATGTTCAACAAAATGCTTGAAGCCGGAATAAAACCTAATGAGATCACATATATTGCTGTTTTGTCAGCTTGCAGCCATGCGGGTTTGGTTGATGAGGGTTGGAAACGCTTCAAGGAAATGCAGAAAAAACATGGTGTTGTCCCAAGAATGGAACATTACGCATGCATGGTTGATTTATTAGGCCGCTCAGGATCCCTTGTAGAAGCCCTCGAGTTTATTAACTCAATGCCTTTGACAGCTGATGAACTCATCTGGCGGACATTTCTTGGAGCCTGCCGAGTGCATGGTAACATAGAGCTTGGTAAACACGCAGCAAAGATGATTATCAAGCAGAACCCACGTGATTCGGCAGCATATAGTTTACTATCGAATTTGTATGCTTCCACTGGTCGGTGGGAAGAAGTGGCAAAAGTAAGAAAATATATGAAAGAGAAGTATTTGATCAAAGAAGTAGGTTCTAGCTGGATAGAGGTGAAAAATAAGATCCACAAGTTTCATGTTGGGGATACTTCACACCCGAAGGCAAAGGAGATTTATGATGAACTGGATCAATTGGGCTCAAAGATAAAGAAACTGGGCTATGTCCCGAATACAGATTTTGTACTTCATGATGTGGAAGAGGAACAAAAAGGATTTTACTTGTTTCAACACAGTGAGAAAATAGCAGTGGCGTTTGGTCTTATTAGCACATCGAAATCAAAACCTATTAGAGTATTTAAGAATCTCCGTGTTTGCGGAGACTGTCACACTGCGATTAAGTATATTTCGGAAGCCACTGGGAGAGAAATAGTAGTAAGAGATTCAAATCGGTTTCATCATTTCAAGGACGGGAGATGCTCTTGCAACGAATACTGGTGATATTGTTACATAAATTCAAACTGTAAATGATAGAGTAATCTCCTAGCGGGATTTATGTATTTTCCAATGAATCTAATTTACGGTTTCCAATCTTTCATTTCACATCCTCTGCTTTGTCTTTGAGAATGTTTAAGATTTGTCTGTAGAGGTGGATCAAAAGGAGCTTCGTTTCATCATAGTGCCTACACTAGCAGGCGGATTCGTAAGTTTCTTATTCAAAATTTTGAGGCCCCAGTTCCTTGTTTTTCTAGTTGAACACCGTACAGTTCATATCTGCACATTTGTGTTACTATTGATGTATACTGCTTTCTGATTGCTTTAAATAAAATTGCATGATTTCGCGTCTTATTCTTTTACATTTGATGTATTTGATGTATAATATAATTTTGGAAAGAGTATCGACGGAACCTTTGGCTAGAGCTTTCCCCATATTCCCCTTTCTGAAAACTTTTTGTTGGAACTGAGCCTTGATTTTCTCTTTTCTTCCTTTGTCCTGTATTATGAACTCCTATTAGTGCACTTCTTTAGTTTCTATTTAATTAAATGCAAGAAAAATTGGAGGGAATATATTATGTTTTGCAATATAATATTAGCACAATTTAGGATTAAATTAGCTACTAAAAATCAGTATTTCTGTTATGCTACTAAACAAAACTTTGGAACTTACTTAAATTTCAAGAGATTTTCAAACCAGTAAATCTTGATAGGTTTCATTCTGATGAGATTTAGCGGCCTTGAGCTTGATTTCGACTCTGATTTGATTGCGTATAATGCCTGTAAACGATCATCACTGGAAATATATATAATTAAAATATCAAGGTTCTTATGTTTGCAGATCTTCGTAGGAAAATAAGGTATTGCAGGAAGGAAAGAAAGAAAGAGAGTGATGAAGTCTCTGAGAAAATATCCAAATGAGAGAGAACAAATTGCAAAACAAAACAAAATAAACCATGTTATATTTAGTCAAGCCAGCCCTCTAAAAAGCTGAAAACAGTGCTCACTTGGACTTTATACGTTAGTGGATAGCTTTTGTGAATGTCTTTCGTTTTATAGTAATTTTAATATCACGAACCAACTCCCATTTTCACCACCTTTATTTCTGCGTCATGACCAACTCACCCCCCACTGTTTCCATTCCCTGCACCATCCATTGCATTTTTTTTTTCTCCTCCCTTTGTTCTTGTACACCTGAAATTATTGCTGTACTTTCTTCGGCAATAATATTAATTTTTTCGAATATTTCTGGAAGTATTGATGATAAATTACTAGCTCTTTCGGTAGTGAGCTGGTGATCCGATAATATTTTGATGATCAGGGTTTTTTTTGGAACAAGCAGTCTTTAAATTCATGCAGCTAATTTAGTAAGAATTTTACATGATTTAGGAAATTTATTTGTGATAGATAAGATTCTGGACAGTGCTGAAAATTTGACCAAAACATTTTACTGCTTATTTGCTTGGATCTGATACAGATTTTAAAGTGAGTTGAGGATTAGTTGACTTCCACACAAACAGAAGATCAACGTAGATGGATAATGGGAAAAATGTGGAAATGATAAGAACTCGGCGTCCATCGGTCTTAGCCTAGCAAATCCATGGAACTTGTGATGGACTGGTTTGAGGACTCTGCTCTCAGATAAGCTGTGTTGCAAGGGACATCCTCGAGGTCTCGAAGGGAAGGATGATAAGGACTGTGCAGTTGCAGGTCATTGAGCTGTTGGCGAAGCTCGGAAGCTTCCTCTTTGAGCTGAGCATTCTCTTGCAGAACCTTCTCATGTGACTCTGAGACATGGTTCAGCTTGTCCAAAATTTGATGATTCTCCTTTCTGAGCCAAACCACTTGTGACCAGAGTTCATCGAGGTGCTTCTGCTTGCGCATACGTGATCTGCGTGCAGATTCTCTGTTAGATATCATTCGTCTGTGTTTCCTCTCATTGATGAGACTGAGTTGCTGCTCATCAGCCTCATCAGAGGTTGAGTTACTACTGAAGGAAGATGGTTGCTGTGGATTGTTATTAACTTCTTGAAGCTGGGAAGTAGGATATTGGAAATTGTAAAATGGGCTAGAAAACCGGTTGAATTCAAAAGTGGTTGCATTGCTTTGAGTGCTCATGCTAAAAGGAGGGTAGGGAGATGATGAGCTCGAAGGAACGAGGTAATGGATTCCAGTGACCTCACCGGGCTGCATGACTTCTCAAACTTTCGACGGATAAATGCAAGGACTTTGTGGTGAAGAAGGTGAGTGGAGAGTACTTAATTTTTGGTTGTGTTGGAAGGGGGGAGAGAGGCTCGAGGAGAGGAGGCCTTTATAGGGTGAAAAGTGTGAGAAGGTGCCTTCAAAGCTCAGCTGATTGGAAAACCATGCGTATCATGTCTCTATTTTATGCAGCATCATCACATTCATCTATGTGTACATGAATGTACGCGAGATGTTTGTCTCTCGTTTACGCGTTCGTTATGGGCATGCATCCATGGATCGATGGCTACATGCATGTATGCATGGAATGATATTTTTACATACATACATGTAAAATGGGGGATTACAATTAGTGTTTGTGGATAATCATTTTTCAGATCAAATCTCCGCTAACATGAGAGAGAGAGAGAGAGAGAGAGAGAGAGAGTTTTTGTGTTAATTATTGGGAGTACAATTATTTTAAAGGAAAACTAATGAAAAATGCTTGAAAATTTTGAGCTTTAACGATAAAGATAAAATAAAGAGTAAAGTGAATAATATCAGGTTTGACTTTTTAGTGTAAAAATGTGATTTTTCATTAAAGTAAACAGTACCGCGGATTTTTCGTTAAAACTCCCTTATTTTAATGGAATAATGTTTAGGCAAAATAATGCAGTGCAAAAGAAAATGGGATCAAGAAGTCAATCTTGTGCCATTGTCAAGTCTACAGGGATGCAGGGATGGATACTTGCTATCCAATAGAACCTGGTGACGTAAGGAATGGAAGGAAATTAAAGAGGTTTAGAAAGGCAAGAACTTTTATACGTACTGGTTATAATAATTAAGGAGCTGATCAGTGACTCATCAAACACTTGAACTCAATTCCGCCCTCTGCCGTTTTTAGGTTCTAATCCTGTTAGCCTGTTGCATGAATCATGGCAGAAAATGTCAGGTTTCATATAGTTTGTTTCATATATTCTGGGGAGAAAAATAACAGAAAAGTAGCTTTTTTTTTTTTTTTGCTCACCAAGAACTTGATTTAGAATTTTATATATTGGCTTTAATTCTAGAAATCCTTTCAAAAGGAGTAGAATGTAGATAATCCAAATAGTTTGCTGGACTAATAGTGTAATTTCGGATCTTCTACTCCAATAAAATACGAAATACGTATAGCAATATGCTAATCCCATACACCACTTAGCAAATTGAAGTCTACAAAAGCTCAAGTTAGAAACATACATAGAGGACATTTAAAGTGAGAGATTGAACAACAACTTTCTTGTCGTCTTTTGGAAGCTGAGGTACAAAGGTGCAAGCATATATTCTCCAAGAAAGAAATGCAACTCAATTATTAACAGTCTGAGTTACTATAAAAAACAGTTTGTATTACCATATTGCCAGTTGAGGACAAATTGTCCTAGCCCAGATTAGTCTGGCCTTCTTTGGAAGTATATTTTTTTATCATTAATTCACCACATAACAAGTATTTATTAAACAAGTGATTCAATTTTTAAATACGTGACAAATATTTATTAAAAAAGTAACGCTACTAAAACTATATCTTAATTGTGTTAAAGTCTCGTATCGGTGGAGTGAAAAGAAACCAAGGGGTTTAAATAGTATTATCCGACTCTAACTAATACCGATGTCTTTTGTGGTAAAACCTCACACTTGATGGATTGGGTATGTGGTAAAGTTGGAGACAGTTTGGTGTCGTTAGAGTGGGTACGGGCCTGGCGATCCAAAAATTCCAACAAATTGCAAGAGTAGATCTCTCTTTTCCCTGGCTTGGTTAAATATTTAATCATAATTAATGGTGCACTTAGGTCAAATTAAGTCAGTTGTAGCAGGAACATGGAAAAAATATTACTTTTTGTTCAAGCCATTCAAATTAGCAGATGTTACTGAGGGGAAAACTCTTGTAGTGTAGTGTTGGGAAACAGATATATGGGATTCGTGGATGTACTTTAAAATGCAGTCTTCCACTAACTAAAAGAGTTTTGAATGGATACAGAAACCAAAATCTTACCGACGATCAGGCAAATGCACACACACACACACTCTCTCTCTCTCTCTCTCTCTCTCTCTCTCTCTCTCTCTCTCTCTCTCTACACCCGAGGGTTTGGGTTGGGTCAAGTTGAGTGGACTGAATGGTCAACAATGCCATGAGACAGGTTTAGACTGCTCTATCTTTTCTTGTCTTGCAATTGTCCTCCTCATGTTCCCTACTTCTCTCTATTTTATTTTCTTTGAGGATTTGGAGTATATATAGAGGTGGATGAGTGAGTAGTTGAAAAAACCCAGGATTTGGAGTATGTCCTTATGCTCAGTTGTACTTGTACGTTGTGTAGATAACTGTATTTGGTTGATCAATGCTGCATCACTTGGTTTCAACTCCTTAAGTATGTCAGTGTGTGTGTGATAAAGGAGAAGTAATTCGCTGACCCTGGGTTGTATTTCTCCCTTCTCCTTGTAACGCTGATCACAGAACATATGCAACGTCACGCGAAAATAGGACCGAAAATACACTCTGGTATGCAAGTGTCTCTAGTGGTATAAGGTTGGTTTGTAATTTGCTGGTGAAAAGAAAGAGTATTATCAATTTAATGTACGCAGCTAACTTTAGCTATAAGCATGCGAGCCAATTTTTTTCGATCATGCCTCTATGATTGGTTGTTTATCTACTCAGCTGGCCAATTGTTCAGTCAAGGAGGCCAGAAAAAAGCAGCAAACCTTAACTATAAGCATACCAGGCAATGTGTAATTCAATAGCTAGCTTACACTTATGCGTTTCACTAATTTGGGTAGTGCATGGTACATGCAAGTTTGAATTATGCTTTCAAGTACTAAAACATGCATGAATGATTGTTCTTAACAAAATTCTTAAGTTTTAGGAGTATAATATGAGAGACTGTTCTCGATCACGA